GAGAGAGAGAGAGAGAGAGAGAGAGAGAGAGAGAGAGAGAGAGAGGCGTGGAAGAAGGGGAGGAACACTCACCTTCGGCAACGTTCTCCGAGGACGTCGAAGGCGGCGGCAGGTCGCAGTACCAGAAAAATGAACTCCGCGGTGATTTGAAGCAGTGGACACAACGTGGAGTGGAGCCCTGTTTTTTTGTGCGGAGGCCCAGAAAATCAAGGAGTTTGAATTCGAATTCTGAGGACCTCCCCGCTGGAGGGCATCCCAGGAAGATGCATCCAATGCAGAAGGGCAAAATGGACAGCCACCACAGGAAATGGGACCGGCCTACCGGTAGGGGTATTCCGAAAAGTTGTGCCCCTCACTGACAGGGGCCTTTTCGAAAGTTCAGAGGCCCCAGGGGCAAATCAGGGTAAGTCGGCCGTCGGAGCGGCGAATCGCAAATAAACGCAAACTTCAGGGGCATATCAAAAATTTTCCCAAAACAAATACTAATAATAAAAATAACAAAAAATAAAAAAAGAATTAAATTTAGTGATGCAAGGAAGATGAGCAATAGCGAACTTCAGCAATAAAACAGCATCATATACACAAGACCAGATAGTCGTGACCTCGAACCAACAGCAGAATTGCATCACGAGATTCACCAAATAAGAAGACACCAAGAGCTCATAATTGACAATGCTGGTAAAGTCTCATCATCATCATCAATGAGGAACCAATGTTGATATCCTATCTGGCGCTCGGCGCCCAGACTACAGATGGCAGATCCTATCTAGCCTAGACTACAATGCCGAATGATGACGACAACAACTTTCCCGAAGTACGAGCATACAGCGACCAATGTCGCCCGCTTCCAGCACCAGGTATGTCTCTCGGCTTACTCACAACCTCGTTCCCCAACACACAGATGCCACTTGCACCCAAGGACCACCCTGCGCCACACCCAGCTTACAGCGGCGCAGCTCGGTTATGGCTGCCTGCTCCTCCCTGCTCGCCCATGAGCGCGTGAGTGCCAGCGAGCTTCAGCGCAGCATGCAGCCAGCACCCGGATGTCAAATGCGGAGGCAGGCCCTTTGCTATATGGAAGTGGCCTGCCTGCGTTCAGTCCCAGGAAGCTTCCAGTAGGCCCCGGTAGCCTGAGGCCCAGCACGATCGAGAACAGGCCTTGGGCCTGAGGTGGTTGCATGCACCCAACTGCCTTTGGCCTGTGTTTGGCCCAGTACCCGTATCCAGCCCAGGGCCTGCTTTCCATTCATTCACACAGGCGGCCCAGAGCCTAGGTTCTCTCAACCAACTGGCGCTGCGCAACTGCCTGAATTTCCTTAGTTGCGCAGTGGCCGAAATAGGGCCCTGAGGACCTCGTCGAGCCTGCCTTCACTTAGGGCGGCCGACATGCTCCAAAATGGGGCCGAATGGGGCTCATAGAGGCAGTGGCCTCGCATTCCCTCCTCCTTAGCTTCAACAGTCCTCTGAGAAGCTCAGTCTTCAACCATTGGGCACTTTCCCTGCTGCAGAGATCTCTCGTAATGGGCTACAACTTGCGGAGCGGTCTACATGAGTTCCTCCCTGGTGAACCAGCGGTCTTCCTTCGGCTTAGTGTGATGCCGGAACCGAACGCGGTACTGCAGCTTCAGTTTCGGAGGACGTCCCCTGCCTGTTGGTCTTGAGACTGACAGCTCCCTGTGGTCCACGATATCATCGATATCCACCTCTCCGTCCATGGTTGGGGGCAGCATTGAGCGACGAGAGGGGAACTGATCAGTTTCTTCAAAAGGTGCAAGTTTGGAGGCGTGAAAGACGGGGTAAGTACGAAAATGACCAGGGATCCGGACTACGTAAGAAGGTCCATCCGGATCAGTCCCAACAATATCTAAGACTTCCCATGGTCCAAAGTACTGTGGCATGAGCTTGCGGGAGATCGCGTGCTCCTGTCCCAGTTCTGAGGACTTAACCCAGACTCTGTCCCCAACCTGAAACGAAGACTCACGGCGGTGTTTGTTCGCAGATTCTATCATAGCCACCTCTGCCTTCTGCATCTGTTCTACAGCCTGCTGCATCTTCTGTTCGTACCGGTAAGCAAATTCTAAGGTACCCGGAGCAGCAGTTGCCTGGTTCTCAGGAAGAAGGAAATCCAAGGGTAGTCTAGGCTTAAAAGTCAGTAGTAAGTTGTTTGGGCTGACCCCGGTAGCGCTGTGTACCGCGTTGTTGTACAGGCTGGCAATGAGAGCAAGCTTCTCATCCCAGTCCACCTGGTTGGGCTTGATGTAATGCCTCAACAGGTGTTGGACAGCGCGGTTCAGTTGCTCGGCTTGGTCATTGGCCTCTGGGTGGTTCCCATAAGTCATTTGCAACTGTGTTCCCTGTTCTGCAGCGGCGGCCTTCCACAACTTGCTGGTAAATCGGACATCCCTATCACTTATAATGGACTTCGGTAAACCAAAATCCCTGACCCAGTTATCTTTGAACATCCTAATCACATACTCCGTTTTTGTTGTTTCTGGCATCGCTACTAACCTAGCATACTTACTAAATCTATCCACGATAACGAAGATGTGCCTCATCCCACTCTTGCTGGTGACCAGTGTGTCCATGAAGTCCATGGACAAGCTTTCACCAGGCCTTTCCGGAATCGGAAGGGGCTGCAGGAGCCCAAGAGGAGCTTGAGTACGTGGCTTGTCTCTTTGACAGACCTGACAAGTCTCCACGTACAGTTTCGCAACTCTGATCATCGTGGACCACCAGAATCGCTGCAACAGATTAGCTGCAGTCTTCTTAAAGCCAAAATGTCTGGTGGCATCATGACATTCTCCTAGAAATAAACTACGCAAAGACTCCCTATTAGGAACACACAAACCTTTATTCCCGGCCTTGTCAAGGAACAACAAGTCGTTGACCAACTCAAACTTGGCAGAAGTCACTTTTTCCTTTGCTTCGAGTCTGCAGATGATCTCCGACATGAACGGGTCCTCGCGATAGGCTTTCACCATGGACTGAGTAACATTGTCCTCAAGCCCAAACTCAGTGATCAGCGCACCTCAGAAATCAGGTCTACGCGATAAGGCATCAGCAACCTTGTTGTACTCGCCCTTGATGTATTGGGGCTCGAAGTCATACTGCTCTATGACTTCGATCCAGCGCTTGAGAGCGCCGGAGAGTACCGGCTGAGTTCTCATCCATCTCAGGGTCTGATGATCAGTCCTGAGGATGAAGAACCTCCCAAGGAGATAGTGTCTCCAATGGGTCAGAGCCTTGTACACCGCATAGAGTTCCTTCTCATAGGTGGACTTTGCCAACTTCTGAGGCGGCATCTTTTTGGACATGTACTCGACAGGCCTCAACTTTTTCCCCTCCTGTTGTGCAAGTACGGCGCCTATGCCATATTGGCTAGCATCCGTAGTCACTATAAATGGCTTGTCAGGATCAGGAAGTTTCAAGACTTCGTAATGCGTCAACGCATGCTTCAGATGTTTGAAAGCAGCCTCTCATCACTCAATCCATTCCCATGGGGTGTCAAGGCGGGTCAAATCAGTCAAAAGGGCGGCAACTATGCTATAGTTCTTCACGAAGTTGTGATAGTAGCCGGTCATCCCTAAGAAAGATCTCATCTCAGTCACAGACTGAGGACGCGGCCAATCACGAATGTTGCCCACCTTCGCGTCATCGGGCTTCAACCCTTACGCGGAAATCTCATGACCCAAGTATAAGACACGGGTGCGGCCAAACTCGCATTTCTCACCTTTGATCTTGAACTTGTGCTATCGCAGGAGACTGAGGACTTTGTCCAAATGCGCAACGTGCTCCTCGACAGTCTTACTAAAGTAAGTATGTCATCGAGGTACACGATGACAAACATATCCAAGTAGTCATGAAAGATCCGATTCATAGCGTGCTAAAAGGTGCCAGGAGCATTGCGAAGACCGAAAGGCATCACCACAAACTCGTACAGACCGTACCTGGTCTGAAATGCGGTTTTGTGTTGATCCTCGGGCCGGATTGCAATCTGATGGTACCCGGACTTCAGATCTATCTTACTGAAGTACCGACACCCTTGCACTCTATCTAGCAAATCGTTGATGCGTGGTAGGGGATCTCTGTTTTTGACAGTGATGGCATTGAGGCCCCTATAGTCAATGCACATCCTCAGTGTTACTGGAGACCCATAAGGAGAGACACTCGGCCGGATCCAACCCTTCTCTACGAGTTCCTTGAGTTGTCGGTTGAAGCTCATCGAGCTCGCCTGGAGACATCCGATAGATCCTACCCTTCGGGATGCTAGACCTTGGGATAGTCTCTATCTTGGACAACCTCCCTCTCTACAACCCCTGTCGGCTCTTCAAATAGATCAGGGTACTTGGCAACTACTCCCTCTATCTCCGGCGGCATTTTCACCGGCTCGCCTGCGGCAGAGACATAAACTAGATACATACCCTCCTCCTGATTTTGCTTATGGTAGTTATAGAACACGGCCGCACACATGCATCCGTGGGACTCAATCAGACTACTAGCTTTGAACTTACGCAATCTGGCGGTCCCTCCGCCTGGCAAAGTGTGTTTGACCACTTTTCGGTCCCAGTCAAACCGGGGTTGTGCCACAGAGAGGTAGTACATACCTAACAAAATATCCATGGGGAGTTCGTCACTCACTAGGAACGAGACGCGATGTCTCAATTCCCCTACGGGAAACAACATTCAACATCTTGGAGGTAGTCGTTGACTACCATGCGCTGTTTGTTGGCACAGGTCGACTCCACAGGTCGACTCAAGCGCTGCACTTGCCCCTCTAAGCGCAGCCTCTCAACGCACGCACGACTGATAAAGTTCCTAGTCGAGCAAGTGTCATAATAGGCCCCGGCCTTGCGGCCACCAATGACCACCTCGCTGACGAACATCTCACCTTTCGGGGCTTTGACTAGGTCCGTCCAAGAAGCTAGCGGGTCTGATCTAGACCACTCCTCCTCTAGCTCCTCTAAGGACTCAAACACATTCATCGAGCAGAGGCTCAATGGGTCTGAACGTGTTTGCGGGACGACACTGGAGTCAGTAGCTTGGGCCATCTCTCGAGATGGTGAGGGTGTATCCACCACCTCGACCCTAGTAGGAACAACTACTATTCCTATTGGCCCGACGTGTTTCCCGGAGTAGTGCCAGAGGTACTAGCTACATTGCTACCAACAGGATGGGAGGATCCCAACGCCTGCCCCACCGTAGGCGGGATCTTATCGGTCACTTTCTTGTTGCAGCACTTGAATTGGTTATGGCCATATTGACCACAACGAATACAGGTCTGCCGTGTATACTGATCTCTCCACACGTCCTTTGTGAGACCCGCCTTCTCCCATGGGGGAGCGTTGGGGTCAACTTGACTCCTTGACCAGGAGCCTCCGCGGCGTCTGCCGGTTGCCTTACCTTTCTGAGCTACAACAGCGACAACTTCACCCCCTGAAGCTTCAACGCTGCCAGCCTCTGAACCTACTCCCTCCTGAAAGTTGTCGTCTAACTCGATGGTTGAACCATCGTTATCAACAAACATAATGTGGCCCTTCATCTTCCAGTTGGGAGGCAGTGTCTTTTTCTTACCCTCCGTTGTGGGATTATGTCCATGCCCTATCTTCGCTTCAAGGTCTAGGGCCTTCTTGCTGAACGAGGAAAAGTTGTGAACATTGATGTTGGCCTCACCTGCCAACTGATTCCTGAGAGGCATTGGAAAGCATCTCAGGTAGGAGGTGAGTAAAACCTGGGGGTCATAGCGCACCCCAGGGACACAGATCAGACGCTCTACAGCGTCGGTGGCCTCCCTTATTGACTTAAACTGCCTCGTGTGCAGTGTCAAGATCGCATCAGTGGCCTTTTGGGCCTCCTAAGGATCATGCCACCTTTCTTCCACCAGCTTAAGGAAGTCATCCAATTGTTGGGTGACCGCCCAAGCGTGGAAGTCATGACCGTACCCTTGTAGTTGCACTAAACCGCTCAACCATCGTGCTGCACTACCCTCTCGATAGGATGCAGCCACAAGCACTTACTCGTGCGGCAAGGTAAGCTTACACTTGACATAGACCGGCACTGCCCTCAACCACGTGTCGAGGTCTCCGCCCCTCTTATCCCCTATGAAGGGTTTAGGAGCGGCGATGGCCGTCTTTGGTACCCACTATGTTTGTCCTGGTCCCTGCATCACTCCGGGCTGTGGACCCTGTGACACAGGCTGCTGTGCTAGTTGCTGGGGTTGTGTACCCTGCGGCTGTACAGGTTGCGAGACATCAGGCTGCGTGGTAACCGCAATCTGCAACGGAGATTGGGTAAACACTGTCTGTACAAGAACCTGCAAACTAGATCCTGATGATAACCCTCCTGATGGCGGCATGCCCAGGGAAGCGATAGCGACCGATGATGGGGCCACATATGGGGATACCCCAATCACCGGTGGGACAAAAGGAGTAGGTTGTACAACGGGCCAGGCACCAGGCCCGGACATCGATGGTGCTGCCTGCGCTCGCCTAGCCAACAGGGCCAGACTTTGCTGAATGTCCTGAAGGATGGTCGTCTCATGGTCCTGCATTTCAACTACATTTAGCAGGATGGACCGTATGGTCCTCACATCATTAGTCACGTGCGTCAGGTCCATCTCCTCTAACTCACTAACGTCCGCTTGTCTCCGCTGCATCCTGGCTCTTCTTCTAATCATCCTTTCTTTCTTCGCTTTTATCTCTCCTAAAGCCTTCTCTAGTTGTGCCTCCTACAATGCTGCTTGTTGTATGGCAATCTCATCGGAAGTCAACACTATTGGCTCGCTCGTTGACCCTCCAGATCCTGAACTACTAGCCTGGGAACTCTGCTGCGCAGAAGTGGCCATGGATGTTGAAGCTGCAGCTTCACTTACGAATGCCCTGCTTGCCTCTTCGGCCCTGGCTCTCCTCTGCTGCTGCTGCCTCTCCCTACGCTGGCGGAACAGATATCTGTCACCCTCTGGTCCTAATGCCAAATGGGCAATTGGGCGCCTCGCCGATCGCAAGATCCGGTCGTCCTCTCTAGTGTCCTCCCCGTCGCTCATAAGCTATAGCACTGTACACAATCTGCACTAATGCACTCTGGATGCCTACCGCAGTGTAGTGCACAGACCAATTTTAATTAATCGGTGGCTATTTCGGAATAGATACACTTGGGGTCAACAGGTAAGTCAGATTCCTACAAACGAAACTATTTTTAGTCTGATTAGTCCGCAATCAGAATGCACAATGAACAATGACAGTTCCAACTATGTTGTCTGTCAGATGTCAATGGTTGTACATCTAACTAATCAAAACATAAAAATAGAATCATTTGTGTGGATAGCTAGCTTTCCCGGGTCGCCCGGCCGGGTAGGGACCACGCCCGGGGTACTCGGGCACGCTAAAAAACCACTGAGTTTTTTTTTTTTTTTTTTTTTTT